GCTAGCTTTGTTCACAGGCACACGGATGTATGTTTTAGTCAATCGATTTTTCAGATTTAAGGCCTCACGAAACATGTATTCTGTCTATAAAACGTCTTAGAGGAAGATTTACTTAGGACCAGATTTAGCCATTTCTTCGTTAGTGTAATACTACGTACGCAGTAGCGAGAGTGTGAAACTTTTCAGGGCCATAACCACGTACTTGGCTTGCTTGTATAAACCAGCCATGGCCAGGCAACGTGCGTTCGGGGCTGACCTGCAGCGGAAGAGTTCGCTAATGGACCGTGTCAGGTGTCTTGTTGGCGCCACTGATTCGGATACATCGCGAGTTCGCCGCCATGACCGTGAGCCGGTTTGTACGCCTTGGGGGGGGGGGGGTGCGCGCGTGATGCATCTGCACACACCTCTAGTGGTAATGAATGCGATTATCACGTGATTTTTGGAAATTGTAGATCATGGTGAACACATACAAACCATTATGTTATTCTTTGCAAGAGTCCAAATGAACTGTGAGGACGAACAATGTAGGAGTGGCCTGAGTACTCATTTGAGCTAAAAAGCAGCGAGACTATTGTTATATGGTGTGGAGTTTGTTTTGAAGTACCCGCCCAGTTGCGGCTGGTGAACCGAAATGGCGCATTTGCTCTTGATATAAAAGCATATTCTTGTGGTGGTTCCAGAATATTTGTATACTAGTATCTTACTTAAGAATAAAGAAGTGTGGCCAACATGAGTATGAATTGTCGCCGTAAGGATTTGCGATAGCCACCTTACTGCGGATTATCAAAATTTCTTTCCCAGCTCAGTAAAACTCGCAAAATGGTTGTGTATCGTTATTACAAGCATGCTATCCTCAAGCCTAAATGGAACCTCTTGAGCTATAACTCTTTCTCCGCGAGTTGGCGATAGGAGCGTAGCGAAATTTGCGTGGTCAGACGGAAGAGCAGGCCTGAGTCACGCCACTTAAAATAAAGGCATCAATTCAATTAGCTTATCGTTTATGTAAATTATTTATAGAATTTATTTCTAAAAGTGAAAATTATTTTTGTAATATATTTTCCTTAGAACTCGAAAGCCAACAGTACGCTCCGTTCATAGAACTGTTTAGCATGTTAGTCTTATTTGACATTTCTATTCGTCCTGTTTGATTATCTTCCCTCACGCCTTAGACATGTACAGAAATAGAGATAATTGTTAAAAAATATGATTTTACTTTTTGTGTGTGAGCATATATAGGTTAGTGATGTTTGTTGAATGTGCTTATTGTTTTATGTTAGTTATTAATTGCGTATTCTGTAATGCTTCTAGTTACAATTTATTTTATGGGATAAATAGTAAAAAAATGCACTGCTATTTGTTGAATGAGTTTTTAAAGGAAAATCTAATGTTCAGTTATCCTATCACCCTGATATGCAGCAGTTGAGTCACGCCGAAATGAGCATAAAACAGCAATTTCCAAGTTATTCCGCCTCTACATCCTCTCGTTAATGAACACTTTCAGCACACGTCACGCCCCTGCCAATTAATGTTCAATACTTTTAAAACATTGGAGAGATAGCATTGAGGGTTTTCTCTTTCGTCCGAGGAGATCGGGTTGCCTTTCTCCCGTGTTTCTTCAGGATGGCGACTTTCTGAGAAACCTGGAAAACCGGGAAAAACAGGAAATATCATTGCTGTGGAAACGTTAGGAAATTTTTGAAAGAATGGTTAGAAGTAAGGGAAAATTTTGAGATGGTTATAAAATTATATATTCCTAACAAAATAATCATTATATGTTTTGCTCAATTTCTGATTGTACAGTTTCTTTTAATTTCTGCTTTATCACGGCGAAATCAGGGAGCTTAGTAATGATCCATGCTCGCTTTAAGATTTTCTTTAAATAGTGTAAAATACTTTACAAATATTATCAGTGAATTTTAAAAAAATGTGGAAAACCCGGAAAAGTCGGGGACATTTGTTTCAGGAAATGAATGGCTACCCTTTTGGTTTACGAAGTGCGTGAGGTGCTGCGATTAAGTTTAGAATTATTTTGTAGTTTCTCAAATCGTACTACACGAGTCCGCCGACCACGTCTTGGTTCAGTAAGGACATGACCTTCGCAAACGTTTTCTTATTGCTGCTAACTGAAGGTTGGAGTAAACGGAGGCGCTTACGACATCAACGAATTAGCAGTTTGTCGATAATCAAACATATTTTGACCTTATAAAGTTTGTTAACAGTATGTTTACAATGTAAGTTACATAGTTTTAAGCAATAAAACTTCTAGTTTGAGTACTTTAAGGGTATACAAGAATTTTCGAGTATTACACAAGATTTCATTTTTAGTGTTTTTCGAATTTTCGTGCTTTTTAATATATTTGTGTGCGTATTTAGTTTCTATACTTTATAAATATTTTCTTCAATTCATTGAAAATTAAGATACAACTTTTCATGTTTTAAGATATTTTAGTGCAATGGCGTCTCCTGTTCAGTGAGCAGGAGGATGCGATCAGTTTTACGGATTATCCGTAACTAGGTCGACCAATAAGGGTATCTAATCGACATCGTCCTGTGTGTCCACGAATTTCATATTACGATGTACAAACTGTACCTACTGAACATTCGATCAGAATTGCTAGTTTTTCATTGCGTGCTCTGACATTATTAAAATAATGCACATAAGTACGTTGCAACATGGACAATATACCTAATTATGAAATTGGAAGTCAATATCCCGTTATTGTCTAGCGTACTTGAGAACTAAATAGTTTTTAAAACCTTTCTTAGGACATTGAAAGTTTTCACTCACCGTTTACTGCCTCATGTGACTCATCCACTTCTGCAAACCATGTGCTCGCCATGTAGAATCTTTCCCACGAAAATAGTTGGGTTCTAATTATCGCGTTACAGTTTCGAAACTGATTTTTCATAGTGGAAGTACATGTATTCTATAACGCAGTGTCAAGAAAAATTAAACACAGTACATAAAATACTAGTGAAAAATCTGCCTTCAAAGAACACATATCGCGCAAGACTTCCTTGTCAGTACTGAGAACCTACGTCTCGTAAATCTGGACGAGGATTGTTGGCAAACGCGTGTGTGTGTAGTGTGGTCAAGAGTCTCCACCGTAATCCACTCTGGAGCCCAGTCTTCACCACGTGACCGCTGGGATTCCCAGACCGTGCACTCAAAGAAGAGGTTTTAAAATAAACTGATGGCAAAGCTTTGGGAGGGGGGATACAGAAGCAGCCAATAAGAAGTCGGAGATGCGACAGTCAGCGTCACATCACCGTCGACCGCAACCTCGCATCTTGCACACAGCACATGGTGAGAGCTCAATGACTTCGATAACGCAGCGCAGCCGTCGAATCCATGTGTCACATCCACGATCACAGGAGCCTACCGGAAAGCACATGAAGGTACAGACGGAACAGAGAGACATGGAGAATATACTTTTAACAAAAGTTTTAAAAGAGCTGAATAACATGGGGATGCGACATATCACTCGCATGCATTGAGCCTACGCCACTGATTGAATGAATTGTATGTCTAACTTTTATTTCTTCCCTTTTAAGTAATATATTTGAAACTTATATAATGTACCACGAGATCTCAGATTATTTAATTCAAGATCTCAGATTATTTAATTTACGATAAATAGAAACTCACTTAATTATAAGATACAAGTGGAAATTTACAAACAAACCAGATTAAATGAGGCATGAAATCGAGAGTAAGGATTGTTAACAATAGGTACCATCGAGATCACTTTGGCTTAGAATTGAAATAATACTCTAATCAAGCTTACTGAACTTCAAATACGAATTACTCGAATTCAGTCATTGATCATAATTTGCCCTCTTTTCGATGGTGATTGTAGTGTCTTACTCAACGAATAAAGTATAGCTCTAAGAACTTCGTAGTTGGTCAAATTGTTGGGTCTTACGAGTTTTTTTGATTTCGACGACGTAATATTACGAAGAGGGAAACTAATGAGCCAATGATCGCGGAAGAAAAACACAGAAGGTTGTGATAGTTTCTTTTCTAACGTTTTGCCTTTGTGAAATGATTTTGTCGTTTCTTTAACGCGAAGGTATACATACAATTAATTATTTTCGAAGAAAAGGAGAAAACACAGAAAAGTGCAAAAAACACGAAACACTGTGCCGCTATGTGCCATAGCGCCAAAAAGTCGAACATTAACACTATAATTCTTAGAAGAGGGTCTATCGGTGACATCAATTCAAATCCAACATCCAGCAATCTGGGATTGAAAAGCCAAAGTTAAGGTAGAAAATAAATTGTCAGCTATCGTTTTCGCAGCGTGCGCTTCTAGAGCATTTTGGCTCACCGATTCTCGTTTCTCTTTCGGAGATTGTGTCTGGCATCAGACAGTGACGAGCCGGCGCGGTGCGGTGCGCCAACAGCTTGCTCGCTCGCGTTTCGTTAGCACGTGCTGCGATCGATATCGGCTGCAGGCGATCGGCGCGGCGGAGGAATGTAACATAATGGAACACGACCGTGTGACGCAACTATTCACGGCGCCCCCGATCCACAGCGCCCTGCCCCTCGCAGTCCCGCTTGAGAAACCGCCCAATTAGTTCGGCTGCCGCCCCGTCGTCCGGTCGCCAGCGCGCACGCGCCAATGCCTGCGCAAATTTCGGGCTTTTCCTTTGCGAAACGCGCCGGCCGCGCCAGGGTCTGCCTATGAGAAATTTCCTTCCCTCTCCCGCCCCTAAATGAGGGGCACTCGTTTAAGAGCACAGGGTGGTAATTAGAATGGAACTTGATGTTTTGTTTATTATGTATGTTAAGCTGTTAATACTCCGCGATTAATTTTTGAAAATAAATCCACCATGAATCTCTTGTCTTGTTAGCATTCTTTTCTGCCGTTTTTGGGCTCTAATAACTGGCAATGAGTGGTAGAATCATTTTGCATTTAACTTCCTACGCACAAACAATGAAGATGTGATAGTCGAAATGCAGGTCATGAATTGGCTTTGGACCGGGCATTTTGAAAAACCAGATAGCTAAAATGTCCGGTTCGTGAGCACAGCATGTAAGGCGAAAATCGTTATAACATCCGCCGGGGCATTTTCCCGGCCAATTCCGCAATACCTGAAGGCCTGCGTGTTCTGCATCTGCCAAAGAGGTTAATTATGTGCTGAAGAGTAATTTGGAACATGGCTCACAATGAAAATAATATTGCATTTTTCATTCTTTTAATACACAATATTTAATATTGCAACAATTACATCACAGACTAACATGATATGGCGAAGCTTCTGTTATAATTTTGACTGTGTGGTAATCATCCGTGAGTGACACGCCTATTGGCGTGCAGGACACGCATACGCGTTGTGGACGACACTGCTGCAGTGGTTCTGCTTCGTACGCGGCAGCGAGTCTACAACGCGCCAGGCACCCCGCTTCGTTTTCCGAGCTGTCGCAAGGCGGCATAAGTATCGACTGAAGTAGGTGTTAGCAAGGTGGAATGACTGCGGGGAAAGCGTGGCCACTTTAATACATTCAGGCGGTAAATGGACCCATTGGTACAGAAATATTTGTTCAAAATGTTTTTAAAACACAGATGCTGGGACGACCTTCTAGAAATGTCTTAATAAATTATTTCACTCGCGCCTTCCGTTGGAAGGCGTAGCACCACACTCGAGCATGGTTCGTCTCTCGGCTAGGAGGGCGAAGGATCAAAAACACACAGCAGCGGCCGTGAGGTGGACGACGGCACCGTGCGTCCGGCGTTCGCCGTCGTCCTCGTGAACAGGGCGGCGGCGGACGCGGGCTGCTGCAGATGGCACTAGGCGGCGCCCGTGCGGGGCGCCTGGCGAAGTTCACCTGGGCGCCTTCCGGCGGCGGTAGCGAGTCCGTGACCGGCCGCCCGCCACCCCGCTGCCGCCTCCGGCTGCGTTGCCACCGTACACGGCCTGCGGCGTAAGGAAGTAGAAGTGCGCGCCGTTGCCTGGTAGCGGGTACGAGATGAACTCGCTTTCCGGCTCGATGCTGGGCAGCGGCTGGTTGTAGTTGACGGCGATGTCGCTTTCGAGCGAGATGGGTTTTGGCGCGGGAGGCGGGGCCGTCGTGGGCTCGGCGGCTGCGCCAGTCGCGGGCGGCATGGGCGTCGTTGGCTCGCCGCCCAGCTTCTGCCCGAAGACGGTGAAGAAGTTCTTGGTGATGTCATCGAAGAGACGCTCGTCCTGGGGAGTGTAGTATGCGTGTTGTGGCCGCGGAGAGGTGAAGGCGGCAATAGGAGCCGGCGTCGCAGTGACGAGAGCGACGGGAGGGAGGGGTGTTGTCACGTAGGCGGATGCTGCTTCGCTAGGCCGTTGCTGATTTTCGAAACTGAATTCGTAGACGGTGCGCGGCGTGGAGGGCGGTGATGGGTGTGGGGGCGGTGCGGTCGTGAGGCGAGGTCGCGACGGGCGGGCGGTTTGCGCAGCAGCCGGGGCCGCCGGAGCCGCAGGAGCGATGGCTGCAACGACGCCGTTAGCCTCGTAGCTGAACTGGTAGATCGGACGCGCAGTGGGCGACGCCGCCGGCAATGGGGCGGCCGGGGGCGCTGCGGTTGCTGAGTTGTAGAACTGCAGGTTGGAGCGAAGCGCCTGCAGAGCTTGGAGCGCCTGCAGGAGTTGCTGGGTGCGTGGGGTGGTGTACTGCGCGATGGATGGTCGCCCAGTGACGTAGTAGTAGACCGGCGCGGCGGGCGGCGCGCGCGTGGGTGCGGATGCGCCGTAGTAGGAGGGCGGCGCGGCCGTGACGTCATAGTAGTTGGGCTGCACAGATTGCTTGTAGTAGGGGGGCGCGGGCGTCGATGCTTTCGGCGCTGTCACTGTGTAGTACTGAGGTGCCGGGGAGGTAAGTTTGCTAGGTACGCTGTAATATTGCGGCGCAGGGGTCGTCACTTTTCTAGGTATATTATAATATTGAGGAGAAGGCGTAGTGCTAGGAACGGTGAACAGTTGAGGTGCGGGACTTGAGACTTTGTAGTAGGTCGGCGGCGCTCGCGTTGTAGGCTTGGACACGCTATAGAAGAGCGGCGGGGCCGGAGTGGACGCAAATTTAGCGTCGGGAGCTTCGTAATAGTAATACTGAGGGGGCGCGGGCGTGGAGACGTCATAGTATGCGGGAGGGATCGGACTGGGGGCTAACTTGTCGACGGAAATGTCGAGGTAGAGCGGACCAGGACCAGGGGCTGGTGCGGGTGAAGGGGCCGGCGCTTTGGCGTGGGCGGGTGGTGCAGGCTTAGGCGTCGGCAGGTAGGCGGCCGGTGCTGCGGGTGCCGCAGGCCGTCGCGGCGCGCTCTTGGCGGGCGCCACCGGGGCGGCGACGTCCGCGGCAGGAGCCGGAGCAGGCCGCTCGTAGTAGTAGCCATCCTTGTAGTAGCCGCGCTGGCTCTTGATGACGCCAACGTCGCTGAGGTGGCCCTGTTCCACCTGCGGCTCCTCGTAGAAGTAGTAGGACGCCTTGGGCGCGCGCTCGGGCACCGCAGGCGCGGGCGTGGGCGCCGGCAACGCGTTGCTGTCCAGGGGCGCTGCCACCGGCCGCCGGGGCTTAGTGCGGACGGTGATGTCGGTGACGGGCACCACGACGTAAGAAATAGGCGTGGGCGTTGCCACCACCACGTTGGCCGGAGCTGCAGGCACCAATTTGCCATACACCTCGAGAGGGACCTCCGTCGTGACCTGCGGGTGAAGCAGCCTTGTCAGAATGTGATATGATGGTACGATTTGATAAAGATAAAAAAAAATATATTCGCGAGTAATGTGTGAACTCTCCTTAGTTATTTAATTAGGTTATAGAAGTTGAAAATGCTCAGAACATTCGTCGTAATTTCGTCTATGAATAATGCTGAATAACGTTCGTACATCCAATGCATTCCTTTCTTTTAAAACTCTTTGAGCCATTTTTATTTGTGATTTCTATTCCACATATATTATGTAAATACCAATCCTTTTGGAAGTGCGCCAAGTGTGCTACTCTCCAGGTCCCGTTACGAGCGGTTTTGCAAGTGATTGCAAGCATTCCACTTCGCCCTCATAGAATCTTAATGGTACTTGAAGGTAAGTAATTGGTACGGTCCAAAGAGTGCTGAATACGTGTACACGGAAATAGTTACCGAGTATGTTTGTATGAACAAATTGCAGTATATTTTGTAGAGCTTTCCCTGGAGTTATTTTACAAAAGTGTTCTTACCTTGTATTGTACGTGTAATTTCAAATAGACGTTTCAAGGTAATCAACTTGTAGAAACATTTTCTCCCTGTTATTTGATTGTCAGAATAGAGTGAAAAGTTAAAATGAACTTCTACCAAAAGTAACTGGTAAAAAGTAATCGCTGATGTAAAATTGACGGATGAACTGCGCAAATCTGGAATGCGCCAGACATTTACCTGGTTGAAGGCAACAGAATCAGGAGGTGGAACTGTAGTGGTAGTCGGTCGTGGCTTCTTCCTGCGCGCCGTTGGCGGTCGTGGTGTCGTCGCTGGGGTGGTGGTAGTTGCCGGTGGTGGTACGGTGGTTGTAGTGGTCGTACTTGAGGTTGTTGTGGAAGTTGTGGGCGTCAGAGGCGCGAAAAAGTCAGGCGGCGGCGGCAGGATGATTCCGGGCACCAGCGGGCCAGGTGGCACTTCGGTGGAATTATCCTGTTGACAGTGGCAGTATCGTTCACGTCTGTCCGTGCACAAGTACGGGATCTGTTAGACGAATATCAGGAGTATTGCATTGGGTATCTTTTTTGTTGACTCATGTAACGGAATCGATATTGTTTTTATTTTGAGCTTTCCCGACACGCAGTTAAATAAACCCGTGTGTCTATTGTTGTTCATTTTTGTGACTTGCAGTTGTCAATTTCGTCAGTTATTCTGGTGTTTTGTGTTGATAACATAACTGGCGTACTGTTTGTTCGAATGTTGTGTATATGGAAGAGGAAGTTCGTAAAAAGGCTATTACTATTTGCCGCAAGTGTCCAACTACCGGGGATATAATAACTTTTTAGTAATTTATGAGCTTAATGGCTTTGGCAGGCTTTTCGTTCTTCAGTGTATATTGGAAGCTAGATTTGAAGTTTTATTTGATATGTTTCTCCTTACCTTTGGGTAGAAAAAGTCGTACGGCGGCGGATAGTAGATTGAAGGGTCGTCCTCGTCGAAAGTATCGTTCAAACTTCCGGGCGGCGGTAGAAAGGCTGCTCCCGGGGGAAAATAGCCCGGGGGAGGTGGGAGAAACGGTGGACCCCTGGTGCCGTTTGGACCCCCCGGTGGGAAGGAGGGTGGAAAGAGGCCCGGCGGTAGCGTCGGGAAATGACCCGTTCCATTTCTCTGTGGGAAAGGGGGCGGAGGGAAGGGGAACGGAAAGAAGGGAGGGGCTCCGTTCCCCGGCGGGGAGTTTCCCGACCCGGGCGTGGGCGGGGAGCCGGGCCGTAGAGCGGGCGGAGGTCGGCCGTGCAACGACCCGTTTCTGGGAGGTGGAAGCGGCGTGCCAGCTGGCGGCAGCGATCCGGGCGAGGCGCCGCCACCACCGCTGCCGTAGACGTACGACCCCGGTCCCTGTCCCGGCCCAGCGCCAGGCGGTCCACCTTGCGGCGCAATGTTTCCGAACGGCGGAAGGGCGCCGGGGGGCGGAGGCGGCCCGAAGGGAAACGGGGGCGGTCCGAAGAAGGGCGGTGCGTCGTTGGGGAGGACGATGGGGGCGGTGCCGTTGGCGCCGAGGAGCTGCGTGGGGCCGCCGTCGGCGAGGCGGACGGGAAAGGGCGGCGGGATTCGCGGTCGGGCCGGAATCTTCACCTGACGCGGGGGCGCCATATAGTCGTCGATGGGCGGCCAGGGCCCTGTACCTCCGCCGCTGCTGCCCTTGCTGCCACCAGCCGTGCCCTCTGGGAAGGCTCCCCCGCGCAGCACCAGCACGTGGTCCTCGGCCAGCCAGATGTCATCGGGCTCCAAGCCACCCAAGGTTTGCGCAGTGTCACGTGGCACTTCAGGGTTGGCGCCATAGCTCAGGATGCCCGGGCGCGACGGCGGCTTGGCGTGCAGCTCCTTCTGCAGCAGGCCGTATTTCCCGTCAGCGATCTGTTGGGACAGCGTCTTGCGGTCTTCGTCGTCATCGTCGGAGCTCGCCTCTGTGACAGCCGGCGTTTTGGTTGGCTTATCCTTCGGCTCCTTCGTGTCCTTGGTGTCCTTGGGGCAGAATTGTAGATTTTAGAATATTTAGTAGGGAAGGAATTATGTTGATTTCAGAGAACGGATTTATCGATTGCTGAATCACGAACCTTCGGTTACTAATTGCTAAATCTGCTAGTGGCATTTACATATTGTAGAATTTAAAATTAACTTACGATTTTGCATTGCCAAGAAAATGGGTAACTGAAACAAGGTGGAGTGTTTCCTCATATTTCTACTTTGTTCCGTGTCGTCATAGTGAACGCTTCTTGATAATTGATAAGTTGAATCTAAGTGTAGACCGGAGGCGCATTAATGCACTCCCTATAATAGTTGAGATTTTATTTAATTTATAGAGCCTTGTTGTGGAGGTTGCGAGGGTAGTAATTGCACGGTGCAAGTGGTGGCAGCGTTACCTTGGCGCCCTTAGGGGTATCGGAGTCGCCTTTGCCGTCGCCGGCGCCCATCAGCAGCATGGTGTCGAGCTGCTGCGCGGCGTCGGCGTCGTGTGGTGGCGGGGCACGCGCCGCGAGGCGCAAGTGGCCGCCCACGGAGAGCGTGCGCGTGCGCGATGCAGCGCCCACCTCACGCCCTTGCAGGGCGCCCGTCGCGGCCCCAGCCGCCCCCTGCGCCAGCAGCAGCAGCAGCAGCGCAAACGCTGCCGCAGCCGCCGCCGCTGGTCTCCTCCACCGCCAACGCATCTGCATACAGACCGGGACTATGGCAGATGGAATTTGTCATGCAGGAAACATAACTGTCCATCCAGGCGCATGCTGAGAAATTGGACAAGCGTCAGAATTAGCTTAATTTGTATAAGAAGAAACTTTTCGATTGGGAGAGTAAATTTACCGAATTTGAAAGGGGTAATTCTGAAGGAAACGCTACAATTTCCAAAAAACCTCGGTTAGACAGTCATAGTTTTTTTTCCTTTTACAAGAGACGTAGTGTGCGTGCTATTGAAATACCAAATGTTTGTGAAGGGAATTGAGTGTATTTTGAATGTAATATTACTTTCTGCTTTCTTCAAACAAATTAAATGTCTTTCCCCAATCATGTCCCAACTGTTCAAATACATCATTGACTTTTTGTGATTTTGGACCTTCAGGTGTGCGCGCAAGTCATTGAGTTATTAGCGGTCCCAGCTACTTGAAGTCATCCTTTGCAGATGTCCTCTCACGTGGCGGTCTAGTGGTGATGTATGTGGCGTTAGTGGCCGGGGTGGAGGAGCAGATCGTGCCTGCGGCCGGACGTGAGAGCGACTCTCTCAGCCTCCAGGAGCGCTTTCCTCGTCCGCCACTCATTGACCCACACCGCCTCCGCAATCAGTCCCTCGAGGCCTTAGTGGTTTCCTGCCACACGGCCCCCACCGCGCGTGCTCCCGCCGACGTCCGCCGGCGTTCCGCGATGTGCACCGACAGTCGAAAAAAGGCAAAAAGCGCCAACCTTTCGGCTCGATCTGTGGATCGCCTCGCTCTGCGGGCGGTGGCCGCGTGGCGCGACGGAGACTGCGGTTGCCGCAGCTGCCGCTGCCGCCACACTTGACTAAGCGCGTATGGGCTGCATTTGTTCGTTAGTGCGCGAGCGAGCGTCTGTGCGTTTCCTGTCCGCGGGCGACGCGTGCTTCGCTCGGCAGGAAAGGAACTCGCCGCAAATCCGTAGCGCCGCAAGTAAGATTGTCCGGAGCCTGCCTGCGTGAATCCCCAATGTCCACTGGGATAATCCGTTACTCCAATAAATGATACAAATAGTGACTAGGATTTAGTATACTGGCACTTAACTGTAGAATAATATTCAGTTAAAATTCTAGAAAAAATACTAATGGTAAATATATTATAATTTGATTAGTGTTCGGGTAAATGAGGATTTCGAATCCAATATGGCACAACATACCAGTTACTAGATTACTCGTACTTCCCGTCGCCTGTATTTGATGGGCAGCGTTGAAAATTGCAATACTTCGCTTTATTGTGCATACTATCTTCTCCACCGTCGTCACGGAACAATACTTTGCATGAATAAATGTACATTTGGAGAATATTTTGTACGTGGAATGATGCAGGGTAGTCCAATATGTGCAAAGCGTTAGTTTCGGCTCGTGCGGACGTGACATCTCCTTACTTTCTAGTTTATAGGACGCCCGCTCGGGAGAGGGAACATTCCTCAAACATACGATTTGTGCCAATGGATGAGTAGCGAAATTGAGAAGTTGGACTAATTTTTCTGATCGATAGCCCTGATTGAGTTCTCAGATTTATTGATATAGTTGGCCTATATCTGTAATAATAATTACGATCTTCAAGGTGGTGATTATTGTGACGTCTTTGGTATGACTACTACCTAATCCTGAAAAAGAATTTACTGAAGTAAGCAGGACCGCGAAGTGAATAAAATATCGAGAATACTATGTTTTTTTATTTAATCACCTTGTTCAGTAGAATACCTATAATTCATGCCAGTGTATATAATGGCATTGCTTCATAAAATTCGCGGAGCGCTTAGGTAAAGAATTCTGTGCTTGTGAGCCCGCATATTTGAGCGAAATAACGGAAATTATTTACTCATTTGAAACGGTTGCCTCCTATTTCGCCGCACGCAAGCGTCCATGACTTGACTCCTTTCCCCTCAAATCGAGTCGGCTATGTCGTGGGCTCCGGGGCGAGCAGCTTTTGCAGCGCCTGTGAGGGGATGGCGGTGGGGCGGGACGGGGCGTGGCCGGATAGTATCCCGCTCCGCATGCGCAACTGCCCTGAACCCTGGGTCTCGGGGCGCGGGGGCACATGCTCCTTTCCCTGTGCAGTGCCGTGCCCAGGGCAGCAGGTTCCGCAGGACCCGCTGGCGGGGAGAAAATGCACGCGGGTTGTCGATGGTTCGCCGATTGCAAGCGCTGCACCAGCAATGCGCCTGGGAATTATATATGTGATGGATACGCCCTGTGGATTGTCGGAATGGCATTAGTACTCGCCGTGCTTAAATAGGCTTAATTTGAGGCTGAATCTTTGGCGATAATTGACATAATCTTTAATTGTTGAATTGTAAGTTGACAGGTTTCTGGAATCACACACACACACATACACACACATACACACACATACATACACACATACACATACACACATACACATACACACACGTACACACACATACACACACACATACACACATACACACACATACACACACAAATACATACACACACATACATACACACACATACATACACACACATACATACACACACATACACACATACATACACACACACATACACACACACACATACACACACACACACGTTCACACGCTGTGATCTGCTAGTATTTTTGTTCGTGAGTAGAAGGTAAATACTTAATCCATTCTCAGTACCTCTGAAAATGCGTCGTCACCGAGATTCCACAAGCGCTTATTAGTTACAGTTTACCGATCTCGACATTAAATGATTAGTATAAAACACTTCCCGTTCTCTTTGAGGGCGACTAGTAAGTATTATTTGCGACCTCGCTCCAAACTCACCGCCTCAAAAGACAGGCTCTTGTCCAGTCCACCATGGAGAACGCAGGAGGGCCGTTAAGTCTCCTTTCATTCGCCAGGCCAATCAGCCCGCTTTTTTTAACCGCACACCATCTGCCCGTTTCAAGCGCGTGTAATACGACCGCCCGCAATTAGTCTGCTCAGGAATGTGTCCCTACGGCGCAGCGAAGGGGCAGGGCCCCCCGGTGCTGCTCATGACACGCCGCTATAAATTCGGCGGTGGGAGGTGAAGCGAAAATTGCCGCGATGCAAACAAAAAGGCCCTCTCCCTCCCCTCCGCCTCGCTCGCGCTGCGCGGACAGCCTTGGTCGTCTAGACGCGCCGTTCCAATCGGTAGGCGTGGCCGGATAGGAGGGGGTGAGGGTGAGGGGCGGTGCGGGTCACGAGAACGGCCGACCTTCCCTGCCACCGCCGCGGGCCCCACGTCGCCTCGCCGAGCCGGCTGGCGCGGAAGGCTGCGGGCGTCCCGCGCACGTGGGCCCCGAGTCGCGGGAATCGATCGATGTTTGGTGGCGTCATGAACTTCTCGTCAGTTTGGGCAATGCTTATTGCGAGCGACATGAGTCTCCTTAAGTATTTTATAAATGCTGTATTCGCGGAATCGCCAACAATGTCTTTGTGGCAAATGATCAACTAATTAATCTAGTTAGCAATAATCATACATCGAATTACTTTCTGAAGAGTTTATATCGTTGTTTGATTTACTTCTCCGTAATCCTCATAGCTTCTCGTGTTATCTTTTGGAGACATGCATGTCTAGTATTCACGAATGTCGCATCTTGTATGCTCGTCAATTATTTTACAATTTAAGATAGTACTTACTTCAGGAACTCCTTAAAAATTGTCCTTAACGAACACAGGACTATTAAAACGCTAACGATAGAGTTCATGACTTCGGGCATTCAGTGGACATGCAAATCATGTCCGCGGGCAGCAGTTAGACGAAATCCTGCTCGTTATTTATAGTGTCCTTCGCGGGGTTCACGACCTGGAGGTATGTTGCGTTACGTAAGTGATCCAGCCTTTCGCTCTGGCCGCGGCGTAACGGTTGTCGCGGTTCTTCAAGAACACCCGGTCCCGACATCTCGCATTCGCAGAGTACAGTTTCCGTTGTAGAGGGTCGTGCGTAGGCCTGAGTTGCTCTTGGGCAGGCTGCTTCGAGCCTCGGATAGCATTTCCTGTGTGCTCTTCGCGGTCTGTGTCTGATCAGCCCCACTGCCGGTCGTTTGTCAGCTTTGCCGTTTTGGAGTTTAAAAAAGTATTTTCAAGATGTGTAAATTTATTAATCAGTCTTATGATTAGTGACCCAAATGCAGTCATTTTTTGAGGCATGTAATTCCATTTTGGTAATCTGGAGTAACCCTGGTTACCTTCAGTACTTAAAAAAATGAAATGACCCTCTTAACCCGCTAATAGCACCAGAAGTGATTTTCATGCGCAACTTGCGAATTTTGCGGCCCGTCGCCGAGCGTAGTCCGTATCGCGCGGCGGAGGCGGCGTTGGCACTTTCCCTGGTCGACCTTGCTTGCTGGCGGGCGCCGCCTGCTCCAGATGTGTCGGCGCCTCGCCTCGCCTCGCCGCAGAGCCCTTTCTCTTGGGCGTTGCACCGCCGTCGCCCTCACCCTCGCTCTCCATCACCGTCGCCCGCTATCGCCCCGCGGTTCTGCGCGCATTGCCGCCACCGCCACCGCTCTGCTCTGCTTTGCATCGCGCGCGCTTTCACGTGCCCGGAGGCCGCCGGCCTTACCGGCCTCCGCCGCTTTTGTTAACAGCTTTATGACGACTCTCGCCAAAGCGCGCGCGTAGTCGGGCCGTTGCCGAAGGAAAGCGGTAACAGCAGGAGTAGCGGCAGCCCGCGGTCGCAGTCTCAGGGACCATAGCGCCGACGGCAATTTGCTATTCGCGGGTGACATCCGCCGTCGCCTCGGGACTTTCCCTTTCGCGGCCGCGGCCGCGCGCTGCACAAGGTCTGTGTCGTCGCGACGCGTGTGGCGCCTTGCTGGGATTGCCCGCGGTTGGTCTCGCCGCTGGCGTCGGTGCGTGATGTCACGGTTGGCTCGATGCCCGCGGACTTTTACGTACAGTAGTGATTGTTAGGTGTATTGCTAAAATGTTGTTTACGCCTCCGCATCTATTTGCCAGCTCCACTTCATATGCACTTGATATTCGGCAGCTAAATAGTTAACTTA